GAGGAGAGGTGGGGGTTACATAGTTGTGGACCCCATTTTACGTGTCGGTGCTGATGACCGGGTGTTGCCCTTGGACTGTGTCGCTCTCCAGACCTTCCTCGCTAAGTGTCTGGGGCCCTTTGACGAGTGGGAAAGCCGGCTGAGGGTTGCGAAGGAATCAGGTACTTTCATGTTCTTTCTTTTCTCCTGTTTGACAACAAGTGTAATCGTTGTCTGTGATACAGATCTCACAGGCTTTGATTCTCCTTTTCATTGTGTTTCTTAGTATATCTAGTAATACAAAGAGATGGAACTAATGTAATTGTTGATGCTTGACCATTTTTTAATGTATAAAACTGACAGATTACATGGTTCAACTTAAATGAAGGAACTCTGTGATAAAGTGAGATCATTATTGTTTCTGAGACTTTACTTTGACATATAAAGATGAGCGGTACACTATTAAGATGTGTTGGAAAATGTATTATCGTTACATATAACTTTAATTCGGCAGATACTGATTACCTGCCCTCTGTGTGGGAGACGTGTATGGAAGGAAGGCTGTCATACATGCAAGAGTAAAATGAAACTAAAGTTGTGTTTTACTCTTCAATAAGAGGTCATATTAGTTTTCTACTTTCAAGCTGAATATGGTGTGAAGAGATAAATGAGAAGTTCAATGTCATAACTAACACAAAATACAAGTATCGTGGAGCATTAAAAGTAGGAGAAACATATGCTGATAAACTTGCTTAGGATGAATTTTCTACATGTAAATCTATCCATTCAACAAATATAAATCAAGCCCCTAATGGTAACTAGACACTGCGTGTGATTTTTTTCACTTACACCACCTCATTATCTCTGTCTTGTGTATGAAGACACTGATGTCCTGAAGACTTCAGTGAACTTGCTTGAAGCTGCCTGTGGTAGAGCTTGGATTTGAACCCAAGCATTTGTCTCCTTTCTGGTACCACAGTCACCTTCAACTAATGTTTAGAATTACTTAAGGAGTTGTATTTTGCTTAGTTTCGGTGTTGTTTTCCTTTCGGTGATCTGTGCTTATTTTCTTGCGTTGCAGGTTACAACATGATTCATCTTACGCCGCTGCAGACCCTCGGACAATCGCGGTCATGCTACTCCCTTGCTAATCAGCTGGAATTAAACCCTGATTTCTCAAGACCCAATAAAAAGTACACTTGGGACGATGTCGGGCAGCTAGTGCAAAAACTGAAAAAGGAGTGGAACATTCTTTGCATTACCGACGTTGTCTACAATCACACTGGTAGGAGCTTCGTTAACCGCTGTGCATTTTGACGAAAATATATTCTGGTTATTTCATTCCTGGCCGTTTCATATAACAGTGGAAACACAAATGACGCTTAGGTATCCTTTGATTTAAAAACCACCTTATATAATACCATTTTTTCTTTAAAAGAAAACTTAAGTGTTGGTTGAATATATATAATCAGTATGTGAGTATCTGAGCGTAAACCAAGGAAGGGAGTTTTGTAAATCAAGGAGGGACTGATCGGGAACGGCTGGTGCAGGGGTTGGAAGGGATGAAGATGGAACGTAACAGGAAGTTGGTGGTTAGGAGGGTGGGTACCCTTGGCCGAGGGCCTGGTGCAGCGGGCTGCAGTGTGGGGAGACGGTGGAGGCAGCAGATACGGGACGGACTTTCAAGACATTTGTTCTCGCTACTAGGAGACTGTGCAGAGGTTAGAGAAGGAGCTTTTTAGACAGGATGTGTGCTTGTCTGTGGTCTCAGCTTTTGGGGGATAAGAGCATATTTGAAGGTGGAGAGGAAGGAACCTCGCCTCCCCCCCAACCCCATTCCCCCTGAAAATACCCGGGGAGAAATGAGTCTGAAGGAAAAAGGGGAGTCCACGATCCTTTGTCTCTTAAAGTTAAGGTAAGAGAGAGAGCCCAGAGCTTAGGTGGGATGGAGAAGGGCCCTGTCGCTAGGAGACGGGAAGGGGGAGAAAACACATGGAAAGGGGACTGTTCTCCCGCCCTGAACCTCTCACAGCCAGACACGGAGCAGCCAGACCCCAGCTGAAGGCACAGGCGACTCTGCCCACAGAGGCCAGGGGACTTGATGTCGGGCTAGAGCCCAGACGAGAAAGATGTCCTTCAGACTTTGAAAGAGCGTTTATGGTCGACTCAAGGACCATCAGAGAGGTCATGACCCTCAAAGGACACACCCCTGGTTACTGCCATCATGACAGCGTGTTACTACTGCAGTGTGAGATCAGCGTGGCGTCCCATCTGCTCTCACTAAAAATGCCCACAACAGAAAAGCACCACGGATGGTGACGTGGGTGGTGGGATGTGTATCACAGACACAACGTGTTTTCCCAGCACGGCGTCAGCACAAGGCACTGATGTCTCACATACCAGACAACGTGCGCGACGGCGTTTTTCACCTTTAAACCTAGCGCAGCTACTAGCTTCAGTCCCTTACAAGCTCTTCCCTTACATTTCCTTCTTCCTGAAGCTACGAACAGCAGATGGATCCAGGACCACCCGGAGAGCGCCTACAACCTGGTGAACTCTCCGCACCTGAAGCCCGCGTGGGTCCTGGACCGAGCCCTGTGGCACCTCTCCTGCGACGTGGCCGCCGGGAGATACCGGGACAGGGGGGTGCCCGCGCTGATCGAGAACGAGCATCACATGCATGTCAGTATGTATGGGGCTCCGCAGCCCCGCACACGGTCCCCACAAATTCCACGCGTGGCTGAACGTCGTTTACGACCGGCCTTTTGATACGCGCAATGACATTTGCTTAAAAGGCTTTAAAAACATGCACCTGTGTTTTAACGCTTGGCCGTTTTCAGTGCGTCCGGAAGATCATCTGGGAGGACGTTTTCCCAAAGATCCAGCTCTGGGAGTTTTTCCAAGTGGACGTTGACAAAGCCGTGAAGCAATTCCGAGGGCTCCTTACACAAGGTACAGCACGCACACCAGTGCGCCTGTCAGGTTTCCGACATGTAACCTTTCTCTTCTTTCCCTGCGTTAACCCTTTCGTAGATGTGTGGTTATGTGGTATTTGTGTTGTTTTGATCAACTGTAAAACTATGCTTTGGGGAGCTCTCTGATAGTTAGCGGAGACCATCGGAGGGCAGGTCATAATCATATATAACCTCATCCTTGCCTTTGGGGACTGTGTCTGTCCCTTGGTTCCTTAGTACAGTGCTCAGAACACAGTAACTAGATTTTGAGAATCTACATTTAATCTTATTTTGTTTGTGCTTTTATAAGCCATTTCTTTTCTTAAAAAATATGTTTTTATTGATTTCAGAGAGGAAGGAAGAGGGAGAGAGAGGTAGAAACATCAGTGATAAGAGAGAATCATGGATTGGCTGCCTCCTGCACGCCCCACACTGGGGATCAAGCCTGCAACCTGGGCCTGTGCCCTGC